CAAGTGTTGTGTTTTTCCCCCTTGTACAAAAGACAGATCTAAGAAAAATGTCGAATGAGGCTGGGAAAGATTTTCAGTCCTGGGAGGCTGCTGGACGTTTAGAAATGAGCTTAAGTGGAGCAAAACGTTTAAACGTGTAAATTGTTCTCTATTGTATTTGATTCAACACTCCACTGTATTCACGTCATTCTCCATCTGGTAAATGATTTTCCTAACACTGGTCTCTGGCTGCTCATACCAGTGACCTTCCCAGAGCCTCAGTCTCCTCGCGCATAAAATGAAGAATGAAAATAAGGTAATCTCTAGAGTCTCCTGCAGCCCCCAGATTATGATTTTAGAAGAGGAGTTTCATGAGGAAAAGGTCTCATCTCCTTGGATATACAGCAAAACTCCTCAAAATAACTGTCCATCTGTATTGTCTCACATTGTCTCTTCCTATTCTGTCCTGACAACTTCACCGGAAGGTTTTGGAGAGCCGAGACCACGTTTACATTTCCTTTGTGTCCTTTCGCTCACTCGCTCGCTGGCACCGTGTGAGAAATGGAGCAATGCCCCAGATCTGGCTGCACAAATGCTTTACTGAGAACCACAAGGGAACCAAGTGACCTGTTAGTATGGCTGAGAGGACCAGCTCTGGATTTCAGCCAGACTTAGGTTTAGTAATTGCCAACTCTGCCACCTTCCAAGAGTGTAAGTCTGGGCAAGTTCATTATTTTCAGTAGGCCTCATTTCTTCATCTGGAAAAGAGGATAGGAGTAGTATCTTCCACATGAGGTTCTTGCAAGGGTTAAACAGGATTTTTTTAAAAATGTGAAGCTCACCTGTAAATGGGAGCTGCAACATTAACGCAAAGTGGAAGATCATGATTGATGATTTATCTCAAAATCAACGCAGAGCAGACGGGGCCCTAAACTGACACTCTGCTAATGGAATGGCCTTCTGAATTTCTATAAACAAAAACGGAGGGGGAAACAAACCAAATGGCTTCTGGTGTAATAGTATTACATCGAACTCTGGACAGAGCTCCCAGCTTTGTATTAGGGTCTTTAGTATTAATGGAGCCCTGGTGGCGCAGTGGTTAAGCATTGGGCTGCTAACCAAGAGGTCGGTAGTCTGAATCCACCAGCTGCCCCTTGGAAACCCTATGGCGCAGTTCTACTCTGTCCTAAAGGGTCACTGTGAGTCAGAATCGAATCAACGGCAATGGGTTTTTTTTGGTTTGGGGACTAATAATTTTGAGAAAAATAAAAATGCAAAATAAAACAATTCTCATAAATCTAGTTTAAGTATTTCCACATACTGTAAGCTTTTTACAAACGATGACGTGATTAGTGGCATGCGAAAATGATGAATGTAAACAGGATGCTTTAAAAAAAAAGATCAAGGTGACTGTCATCCCCAGCCTATTTTTGGCAAATTTGGTTTCTGTTTTAAAATTTTATTCTCTATCAATCTTTTTTTTTTTTTTTTTAAAAAAGGCAGCCCTCCACGCCTGGTTATCAGTAATGCATCTTACTGAAATATACGCAGGTATGTCTTAGAATGTAGAAGTCCTCGTAATCTCTCCTGCCCCAAGATAATCCCCGTTAACACTGTGGGGTATATGTTCCCATATTTTTTCCTGGAATACATACAATTAAAAAAGAAGAATAGGATCAAATTATGATACTGTCCTCAACTTTTTTTTTTAATGATGTATCTTACGACATTTTTCCATGACCGAACAGACGGAGCCACCTTGTTATTTTTAATGGCTGCATCATAGTTCATTTTACGGATGGAGCATAACCTATTTACCCAATTCCCTGTTGAGAGAGGTCTGTATTCTTTCCAGGTGTTTTGTTTTCCTCCTCAGCCTTCAACAAATCCTCGAAGTGGAATTGCTGAATCAAAAAAAAAATGAACATTTAGAAACCCTATAGCTATTACTAAACTGTCTTCCCTAAAAAGCCAGACCTTATGACAGTTTTCATTAAATGCTGGCATTACATTCGATTAAGGCTGTATATTTAAATCCATTACACTCTACTTCACACGTAATTGATTCTAAACCCTTTGGAAACCTTTCTCAAGTACGGTAACACAACCTTGCCATTATGCAGCACCAAAGGGAAACGTTGGCTGAAGCCAGGATTTTTCGGTCCTGTTGTCTGCGCGCCCCCTGCTGGCACTGATGGAACAGGCCCCACAGCAAACTGGCTTCAACAGCAAAGGTTTTATTTTATTTTTTAAATCACATTTGTTACAAACAAATCTTTATTCTTGAAATCAGTCACTGTAGCTTTCCTTTCTTTCTCTCTTTCTGACTTGTTTCTGAATCTGTAACGTAAGTTTCAACCTACAAGCCAAGATTCTGATTTTAGATAAGAATTTTAAATAGCAAAAAAACCCACCACCAATACTTTTTTGGCTTCAAGATTGTCCTTTTGTATACCTATGGAGTATGTTTTTATACCTATATTCTTGGGTATGTGAAATGCGATACTTAGTCTATAATTCATGTCTTCAGTGAACGGAGGCTTAAGAACATCTAACCCATACATTAAAATCACTTACTAATCTATGGAACTAAAAGGGAAATGCTCTACTTGCTTCTGTAATACCATAAAGCTCCAATGTTAACAAAATTTAAATTTAGTTCTGCTTCTCTATAGATACTGTGGCAGACACTGCTATAGACAGTCTTCCCTTTGTCCTTAGTAACCCAACACAAATAATCAGGGCAGCAGTAGGTTCAGTTAAATTTTTCACCTTTCCAGACTTCCTTAAAGCTAGCGGGTCTGTGGGATCCATACCTGTGGGGGGTTTCTGGGAAGGGTATTTAAAGATGGGACTCAGTTGGCACGCCCCTCCTGCTCTTCCCTCCTTCCCGCCATACTCACAGATGCAAGGGCTATCTTGAGACTCTGAGGACAGGAGCCACATGCAAAGGAGGATACAGCAGGAAAAGAGGAGGAGCCTGTGTCTCTGATGACATCCTCAGATGGCTGCCTCACCCTGGGACTGCCGACTTCCAGAGAGAAAAACAAGCTTCCCTAAGGCACTTCCGAAGTCACAGCCATGAAAACACTATGAAGTGCAGTTCTACTCTGTAATACACGGGGTGACCAGGAGTCAGACTCAATGCAATGGCAACTGGTAGCCAGCTTGGTAAGGGACTGTAAGTTGGGTTTTCTATAGCTTGTGGCCAATACAGTCCTGACATAGATGCTAAAACGGCTGCCTCTTAAAAGAAAAGCCACAGTTTGTAAAGGTGCAGTACAGATGGCAGCGTGGTAACTTTACATCCAAAGGACTCAAGGCACCCCCTGAAATATCTCAACAACCTTAACACACCAGGGAATACATAGTCCCATGAGTTTTTGAGACACCTCACATAATAGCCACTTATGTCAGCCAAATAATGAAAACCTCTTAAATATTAAAAACTGGCCAATATAAATGTCACATAAGGATAGACAATAAGATCAATGGAGTAGAACTGAGAGTTCAGAAATAAACTCATACACTTACGATCAGTTGACTTTTCGACAAATGTGCCAATTCAGTGGGGGAAAAAACAGTCTTTTCAACAAACAGTGCTGAGACAACTGGATATCTACATGTAAAAGAATGGAGATGGGCCCATACCTCACACCATATATGAAAATTAAATAAAAATGGATTACAGATTTAAAAGTAAGAGCTAAAACTATAAAACTCTTAGAAGAAAACACAGGCATAAATCAAGACTTTGGATTAGGCAATGGCTTCTTAGAACTGAAGTTCAAGTGACCAAAGGAAAAAACAGACAAACTGGACTTCATCAGAATTAAAAACTTTTGTGCTTCCGAAGACACCATCAAGACAGTGAAAACACAACCCATGGAATGGGAGGAAATACTGCAAATCATGTATCTGATGACTGATTTGTATCCAGAATATATAAAGAACTATTACAACTCACAATAAAAGACAACTCAATTAAAAAATGGACAAAGGATTTGAACAGACATTTCTTCAAAGCTGTGCAAACAGCCAATACGCACATGAAGATACTCAGCATCATTGGTCACTTGGGAAATATAAATCAAAACCACGAGATACTTCACACACACTAAAAAAAGTTGCCATGCTGTCAATTCCAACTCATGGCAATCCCACGTGTGCCTGAGAACCGTACTCCATAGAGTTTTCAATGGCTGATTTTTTCACAAGTAGATCACCAGGCCTTTCTTCTGAGGTGTCTCTGGGTAGACTCAAACCTCCAACCTTTCGGTTAATAGCCCAGTGCATTAATCATGCGCCACTAGGGACTCTTCACACCCACTAGGTTGACTGTAATAAAAAACATGAAAAGTACCAAGTGGAGGGGAGTAAAATCCCTCCTGCATTGCCGGTGGGAATGTAAAATGGTGCAGCTACTGTAAAGACCAGTTTGTCAGTTTTTCAAAAAGTTAAACATTGAGTTACCATTTGACCCAGCAATTCCAGTCACAGGTATATACCCAGATCTGAAAACATGTTCACACAAAGGTTTGTACATGAATGTTCATAGCAGCATTATTCATAACAGCCCCAAACTGGAAACACCGCAAATGTCCATCAACCGATTAATGGATAAGATGTAGTCTATCTATATGATGGAAATACTGATTCATGCTACACCACAGATGAATCTTGAAAACATTATACTAACTGAAAGAAGCCAGGTAGAAAAGGCTACGTATTGTATGATCCCATTTCCACAAAATTTCAGTAACAGGCAAATCCATAGACAGAAAGTAGATCAGTGGTTGCCTGAGGCTGGAGGAGAGGGTTGGGGGTGACCGGAGAATGACTACTAATGGGGATGGGGTTCATTTTGGGAGGTGATAAAAATGGAATTAGATGGTGGTGCTGGTTATAAAACTTTGTGCATATACTAAGAACCACTGAATTGTGTACTTTAAAAGGGTGATTATGGTATGTGAATGACAGCCCCCCTAAATTTTAAGTGAATGTCAAAGGTAAGCAATACAGACGTAGAATGTTAGAAACGTGTTTATTATCACTTATTAAGCACCAGCTTAATATTGCAAAAAAAATTTCAAATCATCCTTCCATAACCTCCCCGAATTCTTGATAAAGAGAGTTTCAAGTAAAGACATGCTTTCTTCTCTCTTCCATGTAAAACTTTATGAAATAAACGCAAAGGACTGTGTACATCTTGCTGTAAAACGCTGCCTGTGGCTGCGGAGACAGTGTCTGCCCAGGTTCCCTTTACTGTCCAGGTCCTGAAAGACTCTTGTTCATGAACTGTCTCTTCACAAAGCAAGTCCACCACTATCAAGGGGGGGAGAGGGGGAACAAAAAAGAACGAATGGTGGGGGTCAAATCACAATGTAATTTCAAGGGTAAGTTCAGAATTCAAATTTATTTAGTAACAAAATTTCTCGTTAGCCCGGCAGCCCTAACATTAAAACTCCTTGCAAGCACATGTAAAATTTTCATTTCTAGGCTCACAAGTTACTCAAAGGAAGGACAAAATAAACATAACACATTCAAGACACATCACACAAAAAAACTCACTCTATGGGCTTACAATGCTCTGACAGAAGAACATATGATCAGGAATTTTTTATTGTCTGCAAGCCATTATTCAGTTTGATTCTGTGAATTTGTACTATGTACTGGGTGCATCCTCAAAGTTAAGCAACGTGGTAATGCAGAAACTACAAGTATTCTGACAGTGAAATATCTTAGCGTATTTAATGGTGGCTACAGGGCAAAAAGTGACTCATGAATTAAACAGGCAAAGAAGAGGGTCTTACCTTGCTAGGTTTGTCATTCTGAGGGTCAAAAACTTTCTCACAAAGCCTCAGTCCCGTCTCTTGCCTTAGCTGCTGTAAGTAGGCCCTCATCACTTCTAGAACGAGCAGCAGGTAGAACATTAAGATTATATTTAAGAAAACATCCCACATGTGCTGGCTGTTGGTCTACAGAAGGCCTAAACCAAAAACCCGTTGCACTGAGTCAATTCCGACTCACAGAGACCCTACAGGACGGAGTAGAAACTACCCCACAGGGATTCCAAGGAGTGCCTGGTGGATTCGAACTGCAGATCTTTGGATTAGCAGCTGAGCTACCAGGGCTCCAGACAATGCCCAGTACATTTCTATACATTCAAATAGAAATGACAGTCCAAACGGTTTTATAACTGGACTTTTTTTGGTCCAAAAGATTCTCTGCACGTCATATTTGTTGCCAAGAATCTTTTGTGAAAGTGACTAATAAGATAATTTATGTACTAATGATTCCACTCTCGGTCTGCATACCAGCCAAGGCAAGAAAAGGAGGAGGGTGGAAAGAGAGAAATCTTCTCGTGCCATGTGAAGAGAGAGGGAAGGTACCCTGAGCTTACCATCTTCCTGTTTGTTTGCAGGTTTGGCGTAAATGGCATTAAGTGGAAAACCGGGCTCTCCAGGAATGGGGAAGTTGGTGATTCCCAGGGTGTACATTTCTTTCTCGCCCTGGCTTTTGGAATTGCACTGGGGAAAAAAAAATTCATGTGCACTGTGTTACAGGGAACAGGATAATATTCAAATTGCATTTTTTTAGTCTAAGTAGTTACGGTGGAAGTTGTTCCTGTTTTTTGTGCCCTTTGACAATTTGGTGAAACCTATGGGCCGCTTCTCAGACTAATGTGTTCAAGTGAATAAAATAAAACACATGGAATTACAAGAGAAACCAAAGAGCAAATTTATGACACAGTCATCTATGTGCTTCTTTTTTAACACACTAAATAACGAGATCTAGCAATGGACCTAGTAACTACTGCTATTGGGAAGTAGCAATGAGTGTGAACAAAATTTCAAAATATCTTCAACTCTAATGTAACAGGAAAATACCATTGTTTCTAGCGGAGAAACAGTCACAGGTGTTGCTAACACTACTGTACACCAATGCCTACGCTAATAACTGAAGAAACTGCTACATTTCAGTGAGAGGTCAGTGAAAAGAAAGATGCCATTTTTTTCCTACTTAAGTCCTTGAATTCTATCCTTGGACCCCAGGTTAAGAACTCCCGAGCCAAGGACTTAAAAATAATTTGTCAAGGTTTCTATCTTGAACATACGTGAGGAACGTGCATCTTGGTTCAACCAAGTATATGAGACCAAATGGGCAACAGCTGCCCAAAAGCAAAGATGAGAAGGCAGGAAGGGACAGGAAACCTGGACCAATGGACACGGGGAATCCGGGTAGAAAGGGGGAGAGTGCTGACACATCGTGGGGATTGCTACCAATGTCACAAAACAATCTGTGTCTAAATTTTTGAATGAGAAACTAATTTGTGTTGTAAACTTTCACCTAAAACACAATTAAAAAAAAAAAAAGACTTCTATCTTGGGAAAATACATTTAGAGCCTTAAAACGCAACTACCCTGTGTTGTTGTTGGACACAAAGAGTTTAGAGAACTACATTCAGGTTGACCTCTTAAGTTCATGCCCTAAGTCAGAGGAAATATTTTCTACTTGTCCTCAAAGTCTCAACAGATTCCAGATGGCTAGAAGGGTAAACATCTATTAGTAATTTAATGTCCTGGTATATGGTCATCCAGGGTTAGTTACCTTCTGGAGTTTCTTCAGGCATTCAGAAATGTAGAGTGTTATATATATCAAGGTCCTATCCGCTTCGTTCTATCGGAGGAAAAACAAAACTTAAAACACTCTGGATCAAAACATAAAAATTAGGTGCAATAAACGAATTCAAGCCTTTTCTTTTGATTATCTACTGAAAACTGGAATAGTATAGCATTCAGCAGCTAACCAAAAGGTTGGTGGTTTGAGTCCACCCAGAGGCACCTTGGAAGAAAGGCCTGGCAATCCACATCTGAAAAATCAGCCACTGAAAATGGTATGGAACAAACTTCTACTCTGACACGCAGGGGGTCGCCATGAGTCAGAAACAACTCAATGGCAACTAACAACAACAACGTAGCATCAAAAACTGCCATTCTTCAAATCCACAGTTTTCCGAAGCCCCCTTTCTGCCCACTCCTGGGGAGGCAGCCCCCAGCTTCCACCCTGGGCTGCGTGGCTGCTCTGGTCTGTCTGGGCTCCTCTCTCTCTGGTTCCTGAGGAGCTGTGCAAACAGCCCCCAACTCTGTGTAGGAAGCAGAATTAATAAGCTGCCTGGAAAATCTGAGGCACACCATATGCCTGGCTAATTTTTAAAGCCCCTTTCACTTCAGGATCCCTGCCGAGAACAGGAACATTCGCTCCTCTAAAGGAGGAAGCAATTATTTCACAAGGGACTTGTTCTTGAGGAGTTCCATCAGCCCGACATCTTGGCCTACCCAAAAGGAAAATGTGGAGAAAATGAACAGAAGTGGATCAAATGTGGCATGCACTTTAGGTCAAATTTTACACAGACTTATAGTTTAAAAAAACAAAAACAAAACCACAGTTCCCTATTTTTGAGACCATATCATATTCGGGAAAGAATAGAATGTGGCAGAATTATATTTATTTACATATATTACAAATCAAACATAACACTCAGACCCTGCATTAGGTATACAACTCTGTTAACAGTACAGAACATCTAGACTACAGTTTGTAGCTGAAAGGTCTACAAATAAAAAATTCCCATGCTAGTAGATTCAAAAAGGTCAAAGTCTGGCAGACAGGCTAAAGCTCCATATTCTAGAATATTATCAAGAAAATTCATTGACATTCCTTGTAACTTGCTCATAGCAGGAGCTTACAAGACTTTTTCCTTTTTTTCCTTTGCCCTTCTCCTTTTCTGTCACCTTCCTTCAGCCTTCCTCTTGACTCCACTCCTCACAGCAACTAAGAAGCAAGAGTCATGAGTGGGTGCTTCAGGGTATAGTCAGGGTCATTAAAGTTTACTTCTCTGCCTTAGGCCCAGGACATACAAGTATATAAAAAGTAACACAGCATACAGGACTCTTCGGTTTTGGACTAGTCCTAAACAAAACATAGGGCTAGAACATAGTAGGTGCTTAATGAAGGCTGAATAAAGAAGTATCTAGGCTAGGAATTGGTAAACTTTATCTATAAAGGGCCAGATAGTAAATACTGTAGATGCTGTGGACTATACAGTCTTCAACACAACTACTGAAGTCTGCTTTTGTGGTGTGACAGCAGCCACAGACAATACTGAAACAAATGAGCATGGCTGTGTTCCAATAAAACTTTATTTACAAAAAGAGGTTGCAGGCCCAGGTGGCAGCCTTCAGGCTGCAGTTTGCTGACCTCTGGTATAGACTTTGGATGGCAAAAGAGAAACTTTTATACAGAGTCTAACAGCAGGCACTGTTCTGGATTTTAAAAAATCATACAATCTTGTTTTATTCCATTTACTCCTCACAAGAACCTTGACCGTAAGGTAGATATAATCCCCATCAGAAAACTAAATATTAGAAGCTCTGTAACTTACCTTGATTTCATAGTTTTTGAAGAACACATTGGCCTTGAAGTAATAGATGGCCTCATCTACAATATCTGTATCTTTTGCTAAATAAGACATAAGGGGAGAGGGCAGAGAACGTCAGCCAAGTGCAAAACACAACACTTAAAAAAAAAAGCTACGAAGAGTTCCTTAAAAAGTTAAATACAGAATTACCAAATGACCCACAATTCCACTCCTAGGTATATACCCAAAAAAACTGAAAAGAGGTACTCAGATAAATCTATGTACATGCAAGTTCATAGCAGCACTATTAACAATAGCCAAAAGGTGGCAACAGCCCATCCATCAACAGATGAATGGATGAACAAATAGTGGTGCACACATATAATGGAATAGTATTCGGCCATAGAAAGGAACGAAATGCTGATACATGTCACAACATGGATAAACTTCAAAAACATTTTGCTAAGTGAAAGAAACTGGACATAAGAGGTCACATATTTGTTTGAAATTCCAGGCATATGTATATGAAATTCGATAACAGGCAAACTCATAGAGACAGAAAGCAGACTGGTGGTTACCAGGGGCTGGAGGAGGAGGAGGATGGGGAGAAACGGCTTCATGGGGATGGGTCTCCTCTTGGGGTGATGAAAATGTTCTTGGGGTGATGAAAATGTTTTGGAACTGGACAGAGGTGGTGGTTGCACAACACTATAAACGTACTAAAAACAAAAACCAAACCCACTACCGTTGAGTCGATTCCGACTCCTAATGACCCTACAGGACAAAGAACTGCCCCATAGGGTTTCCAAGGCTGTAATCTTTACGGAAGCAAACGGCCGTATCTTTCTCCCGCAGAGCAGCTGGTGGGTTCAAACGGCCGACCTTTCAGTTAGTAGCTGAGCACTTAACCATTGCGCCAATAGTGCTCCTGGTAACTGTACTGTCACTAAAATATTCACCTTAAAATGGTTAATTTCATGTTATATGACTTTCACTCAATAAATCATTTAAAAAAAAAAACTATAAAGGGAAAAAAAAATCCAAGTTCAACTGTCAAAAGTTTTTGGGGTTAGATAAAATAAAACAA